AAATTGGAACACTACCAAAAAGATATATACTACATATTATTTAACTACATATGAATGACAATATTGATTATATAAAGTGTAATAAATAATGTAACTTTTATAATTTTGAGGGACCATGACAAATTAATTAGGCAACTCAGATCCACCAGCCCTGCCACCGGTAGTACTTAGGATATAAATCAAGATAACTATGAGAATCTTTCTCGTGTTTAGGGTTCCTACTCAGATCCGTTACGTTAGATTTATAATCCCACGTACCTCCATTGCCTCATCCGCCGCCATGTCTCCTTCCACCAGAGTCAGAGGTCCCCGCTCTAGGTTTAGCGGCAGAGAGCAGGAGGCAGGCTGATGCGGCGACGAGGAACGAGATCGACAAGGAAAAGGCAACTCAGAATGTTGATTTGCAAAGGAGGATGGGTAGCGGTTGGACCAACATCGTCGAGGAAAGTGGAGACGCTGGCGTCGAGATCAAAGTTGTGGGACTCTAAGAGGAAGAGGGCTTCAATTTTGGAGGCTCAAATTGTGATTTCACAAGTGTTGTTGAGGGCAATCAAAGTGTGGTTTCCTTGTCGTCAAGTCAGAATGTTGGTAAGCAGCCAGAGGCCATCGCCGCCAACTGAGCTTGGTCTAATTTGGGGTTGGGTGAAAATTAATTAAGTTTCAGTGGCTTATATGTAATTTTATGGATATAACTATATTGAAATTTAGTTCACGAGTCAAAATGTAATTTATCAAAATTTAGTAAATACACAATAATAATAAGTTAAATGCACAATATAGCGTGAGTATATGCACATTACAAATACCTTCATGGTTATTAAAAATTCCAGAATTGTCACCGTCTACAAATTTAATTTTCTTAAATTTACCAAAATGTCACCGCGCTACATAATGCACAATAGTGTTAGACGAAATCCACGTTAATGTCTTTGAAAATACACAAAAGTGTAACAGTATATTCTGCGAAATGGTGAAAATACTCCTGCATGAAAATAAAAGTATACTCGTAATTACAAAATTTCTGCGAGTTTGACTGCAAATTGAAGCCTCTGACCGAACTTGGACCGTTGATATATCACATCAAACGACTATGGTTCATTTTTATTTTCTTTCATTATCACTCATTTTCATTCAATTCTACTTCTATCTCTCTATGGGTATCACATTATTGATTGATTGGTGGTGGCATTTTCAAACTAAGTTGGCATTAATTTGCAGAGTTGTACATATGAGTAAAATAATACAAAAATAGTCATATAACTCATAACAGCACACAGGCTTATATTTAGGAATGTGTCAAAATCAATACATTACACTAGTACTGTACCTATTATTCCCTACATTTGATTTTAAATTAGTTTTCAATGTACATAGAAAAAACTAAAAGAATTTAATAAATTTTAATTTATTATAAACATCTTGGTTTTGTTAAAATTGTTAGAAAAACGTTAACATAAATATATAATTTATGAGTATATATAACTTATGAGTATATATTTAAATGGGAATATCTTTAACCAATATATAAATTATTAATTCTCATTATTTTGTTAGACTTTGAGATTTAGGGGTAATTAAATTATAAAGGTCACCTTCATTGGGTAACTGCACACCTTTATGTTATTATCATAGACAAAATAAGTCTGCCTAACATTAGCCAAATTAGGTATTTCAGTTTATATAGACAGTCAAACTTTGATGCTCTTTTTATGTTGGAATATCATTTGTGAGGTGTCCCACATTGATTTGATAGAGTAAATGAGCCTAGTTTATAAACCTAGTGGACAACTAATTGATTTTGGGATGGAACTTCACCTGGGCTTCATTTGGGCTAACCCTCGTATAGTGCGCTTCACCTGTGTGGAACCGCACACGTTTTGTCCCCGTTTGACATCGTCAATGGTCTACGTAATTATGAAATGAATGAGAACAAAAAGAAAAGAAAAAAAATAAATATAAAATATATTCAGTAATTTAGTGCAAATGGTGAATTTGATTAATAAATTTTATGATTTTGAAAAGTACTCACGAATCAATAAAAATGGAAAAAATTATAAATATACACATAAAAAAGTCAATTATACAAATAATTGTATAAAACTTTCTAAAAATTACTCACTAACCAATATTCTCGACAAAAAATCCGTAATTTGATTAATTGGTGTAAGGGTTGTAAACGAGCCGAGCCAAACTCGAGCTTAGGGTGCTTGAGCTCGAGTTTTAATAAGCCGATCTCGAGCTTTAACGAGCCAAAGTATAAAAAATTATATAGAAATCCTATTTTTGAGTCTTAACAAGCCTTATCGAGCCGAGCTCATTATGTAGGAATTTATCATCACATAATATAAATTCAATAACAATTATCCTAGAACATGCTTTAATTCTAGAAAAATTAACATCGCGCTAGATTATAGATCATAAGGATTATAAAGAATACCTGATCCTTGAGATTGTGTCTAGATGCGGAATACCTTATCATCAATCTCCGGATCACATCTCTATGAATGTTGACATGAACATGGTCTGGATCACGAACACGTCCTCGATCA